CTACTCGCAACTTGGCATTTGCAAGATTACTTGCCCAAATAATTCGATTGTGAGCACAATTTCCAAATTATACAATTAAGACAATACGTCTTGATAATGCTGGTGAATTTATGTCTCAGGCTTTTAATGATTATTGTATGTCAATCAGAATAATGATTGAAAAGCCTGTTGCCCATGTTCATACACAGAATGGTCTAGCAGAGTCATTTATTAAACGCCTCCAATTGATTGCTAGACTATTACTTATGAGAACAAAGCTCCCAAGTTTTGCTTGGGGACATGCTATTTTACATGCAACAACACTTGTACACATTAGGCTAACAAGTTATCACAAATTCTCCCATTTACAATTGGCTTTTGGTCAAGAGTCAAATATTTCCCATTTAAGAATATTTGGATGTGTGATATATGTTCCAATTGCTCCACCACAACGCACTAAAATGGGTCCCAAAGAAGATTGAGAATATATGCTGGATATGAATCTCCTTCTATAATTAAATGTTTAGAACCATTAACAGAAGATTTATTTACGACACGATTTGCCGATTGTCATTATTTTGATGAAATAAAATTCCCAGCATTAGGGGGAGAGAATAGGCAATTGGAAAAGGAAATTACCTGGAAAATGTCATCATTATCTTATCTTGATCCCCGTTCTAAACAATGTGAACAAGAAGTTCAAAAGATAATTCATTTACAAAATGTAGCAAATCAGTTGCTAGATGCATTCACTAATTTAAAAAGAGTGACTAAATCTCACATACCAGCTGCAAATGCTCCAATTCGAATTGATGTCCCTGAAAGACAATTACTTGTAGCAAATGAATCTAAGGCACGTTTAAAGCGTGGTAGACCAATTGGTTCCAAAGATAAAAATCTCGAAAGAAAAGAGTAGCAAATGACCAAGATGTTTACATCAAAGAGGCAAGTTCTCATGAAGAGAATAGAGACATATTTAATCATGAAACTCCAGAAAAAGTTTAGATATCTGAAACTAGCAAGAATGAAGAGATCTCAATAAATTATGTCTCTACAAGAAAAATATGGAATCGAAAAGAAATAATTGTCGACAACATTTTTGCATACAATATAACAGTTGATATTGTAAATAATAATGAGGATCTTGAACCTAAATTTGTTGAAGAATATAGACAGAGAGAAGATTGGCCAAAATGGAAAGACACAATCAAGGCAGAACTGAATTCATTAGAAAAACGTGGAGTTTTTGGACCTATAGTATGAACACCTAAAGATGTAATACCGGTGGGGTACAAATGGATATTTGTGCGAAAACGAAATGAGAAAAATGAAGTCGTAAGATATAAAACACGACTTGTAGCAAAAGGGTTTTTGCAAAGACCTGACATTGATTATCAAGAAACATATTCTCTAGTGATGGATGCAATAACATTTCGATTTCTTATTAGTCTGGCAATAAATAAAACCCTTGATATGCATCTAATGGATGTAGTTACAGCCTATTTATATGGATCACTTGATAACGACATATATATGAAAATCCTTGAAGGATTTAAAATGCATGAAGTGTGCAACTCAAATTCTCGAGAATTTTATTCAATTAAATTGCATAAATCATTATATGGATTAAAGCAATCAGGTCATATGTGGTATAACCGTCTTAGTAAATATTTGTTGAAAAACGGTTATAAAAATGACCCTATTTGCCCATGTGTTTTCATAAAAAGATCTGGATCTGAATTTGTTATAATTGCTGTGTATGTTGATGACTTGAATATTATTGGAACTCTTGAAGAGATTCAAAGGACAACATATTATTTAAAAATGGAATTTGAGATGAAAAGACCTTGGAAAAACAAAATTTTGTCTCGGTTTGCAAATTGAGCACTTAACGAGTGGAATTTTTGTGCACCAATCAAATCATACTGAGAAAATATTAAAACAATTTTATATGGATAAAGCACATCCACTGAGTACGCCAATGGTTGTAAGATCACTTGATGTGAACAAAGATCCTTTTCGGTCGGCAAAAGATAAAAAAGAGGTACTTGGTCCTGAAATACCATACCTAAGTGCAATAGGTGCATTAATATATCTTGCTAACAATACACGACTAGATATATCATTTTCAGTAAATTTGTTAGCAAGATATAGTTGTGCTCCGACATGAAGACATTGGAACAAAATTAAGCATATATTCTGATGTCTTCAAGGAACAATAGATATGAGTTTATTTTATTCAAATGAATCTACACCTCAATTAATTGGTTATGTAGATGCAAGATATTTATCTGACCCACATAAAGCTAGATCTCAAACAGGCTATTTGTTCACATATAGAGGTACGGCTATTTCATGGCGTTCTACAAAACAAACTATAGCTGCTACTTCTTCAAACCATACTGAGATAATAGCTATCCATGAAGCAAGCCGAGAATGTGTTTGGCTCAGATCAATAACCCAACATATTCAAGAATCATGTAGCATTGATTACAACAAAGAAGTTCTTATAATATTATATGAAGATAATACTGCATGCATAGCTCAGTTAAAGGGAGGTTATATCAAAGGTGATAGGAAAAAACATATATCACCAAAATTCTTCTTCACTCATGATCTTCAAAAGAATGACAATATTGAAGTTAAACAGATTCGCTCATGTGATAATCTGGTAGACTTATTCACTAAAACTTTACCGACGGCAACATTTGAAAAGTTGGTATACAATATTGGAATGCGTCGGTACAAAAATCTTAAGTGATATCATCATGAGGGGGAGTAAATACGCACTGTACTCTTTTTCTCTTGACCAAGGTTTTATTCCATTGGGTTTTCCTGGTAAGATTTTTAATGAGACAATTTCTAAATTCATATATTACACAAGAATAATGTACTCTTTTTCCTTCACTAGGTTTATTGGGTTTTTTCCTAGTAAGGTTTTAACGAGACATATTCTTTGTGTAATGGACATCCAAGGGGGAGTGTTATGAATAAATGTGGATGTCCCTTGCAATTCTATAACTTCCTAATCTTTCATCTTCTCTAACTCTTAAACCTTTCAAGTTCTACAACTTCAAAGCATTTTATTAGTTTTTAATTTCATTTATAATATTTCATAATCTTGAGACTATAAATAGATGCATTATGAAAGATGATGTACACTCAACTTTAGAATAAGAAAAACATTGGTTCTATTTCCCCTCAATTATCTTCTCTCTTCTTATAGCTTATTTTATAGTGACTATGATATTAATAATTGCGTTAATCAAATTGGAGAAACTAGAAGTCAAGCTTTTTAATAAATTCTTTTTATTTATTAAAGTTTTACTTTAGATCATCCTTTTATTAATTTTTTTATATGATATTTCTAACCAACAATTTTGATAAGCTCCTCTTTTACAATACGGTCCAAAGTAATGTTACGTTGTTTTATCAATAAAGATTAGTTCACAACTCAATCATACAAACTTTCTCTTATAACTTCAACGTGACAATTTATAATTAGGTAGACGATACTTATTACGAGTTGATCAATTACGATCTGTCACATCGAGGTTGTAAGAGGAAGTTAAAAAGATTGAGTTTTAAGTATAGTATTACCGATTGTTTTATAAGTTATATACAATATCAAAATCCAAATGGTTGAGGAGCTTGATTTATATTTAGAAAAGTTGGATTAAGAAAGTAAATTAAGAAGAGTAATACTACACTTACAAAGAAATTTTACAAAGATCTTCATACAAAATGATGTGGCAAAAAATGAATGGAATAGTGAATTTAATGAGTTTGACTTTTTGTTTCACTCTTTCATTCATTTTTTGCCATCTCACTTTGTATAAAAATCTTTGTAAAATTTCTTTATAAGTATAGTATTATTGAATTAAGAATATCCAACTGAATAACGGCTTCGTATTTAGAAATGCAAAACAAAAATATAATTAGTTAATTAATTAATATAAGGAGTAACTTATATTAAAGGAAATTACCACTCCTATTTTTTATTTTCCGTTTCTTTGTTTCTTACAATAATAAAGGAAATTGCCATGTTTCTGTTATCTTAAAAGGCCGTCAGAGGACTAGAAATATAAATACCATAAGTACATGGTAATCAGAAACTAATCTGGACCGTTAATTTAAACCGACTTAAAAAAACGCGTGTATAAAAGATTCTGAACAGATCCACCAAGCACAAACACAAACACAAACACAAACGCAGAAGGAATACGCGTGGTCCGTAGGCAAAGCAGCTTCGGGTCGGTTTCGAGTTCGAATTCGAATTCGTTGTCTCTTCTCTTTCGCTCACTGGTAAGATCTTTAATTACCTGTGAATTTCGAAGGAGAGACAGAAGTAAGCACCAAATTGAAGTTCTAGGGTTTTGATTCTGCTCTGATTCATTACTCAATTTCAATTTTTGTCTTGATTCATCGTAATCATCTTTCTTTGATTTCTATAATTGATTTCTGTTCTGGCTATACATCTTTTTGTTGTTATACTTGATTGGGTTTTTGTACTAGAAAAATTGGGGATATTGTATACTCTGTTTTAAGAATTTGGGACACCCTTTATTATTGAATCTCTGAGGGTTTGGAACTGTTTTTTTTTTTTTTTTTTTTTGGTACTATTATTTCTTGAGTTTGATTTTTGATTGAGAAGAGTTGTGGTGTTAATAATATGGCGGCAGGGCGTACCAATGTTTCGAAGAGAAGAGAGGATTATTATGATGGTTACTCCAAAAAAGAAGTTGTTCATTACAGAAACGGTACTGGTGATGCCAAAGTGATCCGAGATTGGGTTGATGACAAATATAAACATGGGTACCGATATTTGTCAAATGGGCACAATTCTGGTCCGAAACGGGTTGAAGCCAGGTTTGACGATGCACACGGTTGTAAGAATGGTGAAGTGTCAAAATGTGATGATGGGATTCTGTTGCCTTCTGCGAAGAAAAGGAAGTTTTCACCCATCATATGGGACTTGGATGAAAAGAAAGTGGAAATTTCTTCTAAGAAAAGATTTGCACCTACGCGTACTGCTTTACTATCTCTGAAATCTTCTGTGCGCTTGGTTAGTGAGGTGCCGAATGTTGTTTCTGATGGGGGTGTTGCGAAAAGCCCTGCATTGGAAAATAAAGTTAAAGGGCTGGACTTCTTTTCAGAGAAGTCTTTTTCTGATGGTGGTTCAGTGGTGGCTACTGTGTCTGAGTCGCCAGGGGAATTGTCTCCTTCATTGCCTCAAGATATTGTGGTTGATGACCAGGTTCAGTCAGAGGTGGAAGAGTTTGTTCAAATGCAGAATACATCAACATCACGCTGGGCTTCTGACAGTGATTTGGAGGATATATCTCTATCTGATGGTGAAGATGCACCTGTTAAGGGGGAACAGCTTTCAAAGAGGTCTACTCCTGAGAGTGGGGAGTTCTGTAGAGAAAACTCTGAAGATGGGGCCAGATTGTCCGAATCTGATATTATAGATGGGGAACGTTCTTCCAAAGATGAATATTCTGATAATGAGTTGGAGGTTGATGATGTCTTGGATGTTGATAATACAGCTGAAGAGGATATTGCTGTCGAGGAGCCTGCCATTTCTGGACAAAGAAGTAGTAACATGCTTCAGAGTTGTAGGCATGTGCTTGAATATGAGTATCTCAACAAAGTAAACGAGGGCACTTACGGCGTTGTGTATAGAGCCAGGGATAAGAAGACGGGAGAAATTGTGGCATTGAAGAAGGTGAAGATGAATGTCGGTAGGAAAGAAGATTATTTAGAATATGGTTTTCCTACTTCATCTTTGAGGGAAATTAACATTCTCTTGTCTTTTAATCATCCTTCAGTTGTTAGGGTTAAGGAAGTTGTTATGGATGACTTTGATAGTGTTTTCATGGTTATGGAGTACATGGAATATGACCTCAAGGGGCTAATGGAGTCAATGAAGTTTCGTTTTAGTACTAGTGATGTCAAATGCTTGATGCTACAGCTTTTGGAGGGTGTTAAGTATCTGCATGACAATTGGGTTCTTCACAGGGATTTGAAAACATCAAATCTTCTTTTGAACAATCGTGGTGAGTTAAAAATTTGCGACTTTGGCATGTCACGCCAGTATGGAAGCCCACTTAAGCCATATACATCAATGGTGGTTACTCTATGGTACAGGTAAAGATGCATTTCATTTCTTCTGTAGATCATTAAAAGTATTATAATAATAATAAGACGCACTTCTTAACTAATAAATCAACTCTGTCTTTTCAGGGTTACTAAATGATCTATCTAGTATCGTGGTTTAAACTTTAAAGCACCTGATCGTTATCATAGGCCTTGTTTATATGTAGAATATACTTCTTTTTTCCTTGCCAAAAAGATTAGTAGCATAAACTAGTTATGGTAATCTCATTTAGTTCTGTGATACTGTATGTTACAGGGCTCCTGAACTTCTGCTAGGAGCAAAGAAGTATTCCACAGCAGTTGACATGTGGTCGGTGGGTTGTATAATGGCTGAAATGCTAGCCAAGAAACCACTATTCAGTGGGACAAGTGAAGCTGACCAGATTGACAAGGTAGTTATTTCTCATTGACATTATTCCTCTTTTTATTTTTTTAATTTATATATTTATTTCATTTTATGTGTTGGCCTTCTCAGTGATGAATGTTTGAAAATAATTGCAGATATTCAAAACCCTTGGCACGCCAACTGAGAAAGATTGGCCTGGATTGTCTGAACTACCGGGACGAGCCAAAGCAAAATTTGTTAACCAACCGTAAGCATCTTTTTATGCTATCTTTTTTTGGTCAAGTTTTTATGCATATAGACTATTCTAGGATATGGTCTCTTTTTGCAATTCTTGAAGTTAACTGTGCATAGGCACAGTTGTGTAATTTTTCAAATGATCATCTTTTTCATTTTGTCCCAGGTATAATCTGTTGCGAAGAAGGTTTCCTGCCACATCTTTCATAGGATCTCCGGTTCTTTCGGAATCAGGATTTGACTTGTTAAATAGACTTCTGACTTACGCTCCTGATCAGGTAATTTTCTGTTAATATGCAATTCCAAATATGATTTTGGTTATATCTTTATGTTATAAATTGCATGCTCAATACCCCTGTTAACAAATATTTTCTTGTTCATGCAGCGGATAACAGTTGATGATGCCCTCAATCACGATTGGTTTCGTGAGGATCCTCTTCCCAAGTTCAATCATACCTTCTCCCCACAGCATACTTGGAACAGGTAGCTGTCTAGCTAATGAGATAACTAGACGTAGCATACAACCTAAGAAAATTTCCGGCAGTTTTGGTTTCTTTTCTCTTGGTAGTTTGTGTCTCAAATTTTGTTAACTTGGTTCTAAGGCATTTAGAAGGAATGCAGAAGAAGAGAAGAGAGTCCGGACTAGGAAAATGTAGTGACAGTCAGCACGACTACTTGCATCATGTACCATTCATGAAGCGACTTTATTAAGGCATCGATGTGAACCCAATTCTATTGAAGCTTTGATTGATTAGGAGCCAAGAGGGAGTGGTGTTAGTTGAAGTCTACGTTTGGGATTAACTAATGAGTTATCCACTGACGTTTTACTAATCCTCATTGTAGATAGAAATGTAATTGTTACTTCCAGCATGGAGTAAACGAAAAAGGAAAAAAAGAAAAGTTTTTCTTATTCAGATGCTTACTTCAATCTTTTTTAATCACTGCCCCTGGCTTTAGTTTCAAATGCATCATCTTATGAGTGTTAATAAGGATTAGTTTTGTATCTGCAATTTCATTTCCCTTTTCCTTTCTAAACAAGCGAGAAACTGCTTCTGGGTTGCTGCCTAATTGAAAATTGTCTTTCCTGTGAATTTTTCTCAGAGAATCAATAAACATTACCAAGTTAATGTAAATGAAATATCTATCTATTCCCCGTTAACTATATCTATGTGCTACAGAAAGTCATTAAAATTACTTAATAATGAAATTTGAACATCCTATGTACTGTATTCGGACAAGTACATTTTCATTAAACACACATCTTCGTCATTATACTTTATATTGGTGCAGACGCTCTGTATTAGTCTTTATATTGGTACAGGCTTTGTATTAGTCATTTATAAGTACCAAATGATGTTATACATGGCTACTCATTATCTGAAGCAAATGAAGTGTCCTCTCAAGTAATAATATCAGTTAAGCAGACGCCATTTCCACCCATAACCGTAACCAAAAAACTCGGTGGATAGAAACGTGAGTTGCCAAAGAGATCTTGCTATGAATGTCATTTTGTAGTGAAAGTAATGGTCTTCCCAAGCACAAAAAGAACCACAGTGAGTTCAATGAAGAAAATTGTATTGATAAGAGCTCGATCAATAGTCCATCCGAAGATAGTGGCTCCACCTGAATTAGATTGCAAATATGTAACTGCAGGGCAAAAACGGCTCAAGTAAACATCATATATAATTACAAAAAATAGAGGACCAGACAGAATTACTATATAACTAGGGGAGCTGATACACAGATTGATAAAATTGGGGACCTTTTTCTGTTCTCCAGAAAGGACATTGCAGGAACCTTCGAGGAGATATATCTATAATTTTAGAATCCCGGCTTCAGTGTCAACCAAACATCACAAAGATGAAGTTTCTTTTCTGATTGACCTGTTTGGCTAGTCAAATGCATGCCAACTCCAACCAATACAATTATAGAATTAACAAGCTTTCCCTACTTAATCAAACTAGGTAAAACAGTGCAGACTGTCATTGAACCAGATTAACGTCCCTTGGGCAAGAATATATGACACTGTTAAATCTTCTTACAGGTTTAGTTTTTCCTACTTCACTTTAATGGTAAAACCTTGCTTTACAGCATCGTTAAATCTGGAGGTAGCCCATGGCCACAGTTTGGCTGCTGAATTGGTTGTTGCTACCATGGCAATGCCCAAGAGAGAAAAATCAAATCTTCCCGATGCTATTCTCAGTGTCTATGGTGCCTAACTCAAGTAATAGCCTTTTAAGTTTTACGGACTGAATAAGTTTTCTGACTGACAAAGAACCAAGATAGTTTGATCTAAAGACTTGCTGGCCTATAAGAAACTAATGCCTTAGATTGAGCAGAATGACAATTTAAGAATTTCTTATATCTTAGCATAAACTAGGCGAAAGTTTATACTGACTAGCTGGATAAGTGACATTTGATATATTAACTACTAATAGACGTATAAAAATAAGGAATTAATGTTTCATAGATACACATACCAAAGGCCTGTCTCTTGTGATACATGGTCATATAAGATGCCAACTGAGTATTTGTGGCCATTGGCACATAGTCACCCGACTCCAAATCACTTTCAGAGTAGCTAATAGGTATTGAGGATGAAGGATTTGCAGCCTCCAAGCTTCCAACATTACTATTGATTCCCAATTGAGAGGCACCGTTAGAGCTGCATGTGATTGAAGCATGCCATCTGCTAGCAACTGATCCAAGACCCTGCGCTCTATGTGAGATCTTAGCAGCTGCATGAAGGCAAATTACCATCCCAACAAGCTCAACAATACAGGCGACCTACCAAAACCAAAGTGAAGAAAGTGAATGTGAAAATCTTTGAGGTGATGATGGGCCTCACAGGATCGTCTTAACATAAGGTAAAAAAGCAGTTCAGCTGACGTATGAAACAAAAATTATGGCAACATACAAGTTTAATATATTATTGACTCGCATAAACTGAATAAAGAAGGAACATATTTTTTTGCACTTACTGCAAAATCACCGCCATTAATGAAATTGATGATCCCATAGTTCCCTGTGGTTTCCAGTAGCGACATAAATTGAGTTGCTGTCACAACCAAGAACTCAAGAAGCAGATATATTCGAAACCTGTGGCTTATCTTAGATAAATGATGCTTTAACCTTACATGTTCCTCGATATACACTGAAACGTCAAGATCTCTTTCTAAAAGTTTGCCATAATTTTCAAAGTGAATCACTTGCAAATTGCACACCAAATGGAACAGGAGACTGCCAGATAGATAGATAATGGTCGAGTAAGTCCATGATACAAGCAAGGCAACTACTATACCAACAGATTGCCACCACGATTGATGCGCATAGACAATATGTATAACCTCACGGGCAGCCTTCAAAAGAAAACAAGGTAAAATCCAAACGCCCAACAATTTGAAGAAACCCTGAACAAAGAGAACACTTGAATCAATGATCTGATCATATACCAAAACTTAAGTGCACAAGAAAGACCGACCGACCCCTAACCAAAAAGCTTGAACCTGTGATCTCAAGCAACAAAGATGTACTTATTAATATTATACTAGAAATTTACGCATTCCTTGGGGAAGAGTTGAAGCTTCACATCAATTGATCAAATCAAGTGCATAATTGAGTTTGAAACCAATACTATTTAGTTCATATTTCAAAATATTAGCTTTAGGTATCAATTGCATTTCTTCCCTACCAGAACTGATTTTTGAGCTCTATTCTTGAGGAACAAAACGACCTACAAATTTGATACTGTTTCTAAATCCCGCTATTTCGAATTTAATGTGAGATTCCAACCACAAAATTAGTGATAAAAAAAAAAAAAAAAAAAAAAAAAAAAAAAAAAAAAAAACCATTCTTCAATGAAAAAGTTTCTGAAAGAACTGAAAAGAAAAAAAGTTGGGTATTACTCACATGAATCTTCTGTATATACTCTCGACGAAACTCGGCGAGGTGACCGTGTTGGCCGTCCACGAAGAGAAACTTACGGACACCATACTTGCGGAGATTGTGAGAAACACAGAGAAGAGAAATGGCAGCAACAAGAGACTGGGAGATGAGAATCTCAAGCTCAAAGTTTTTAACCTCATACTTTTCACAGTTTGAACAGTAAGATAATTGGATTATGAAAAGGGGAAGAGCAACACACAGAAGAAGAAAACAAAACCACGAAAGACTAAAGCGTAAAAAAGAGTACTGGCAAAATCCAAAGATTCTGAGAAAGGTCTCTAAACGATCCAGAGATTTGGAGAGTTGGGTGTCGTTTACTTCCACATCTTCTTGTTGTAGGGGTGGCGTCTCTGTTTGTATAAGAGGGGTCTGTGTTGTTGATGAGTTAGGAGCTGCCATTAAAGCTAGAAAGAGAAATAGAAAAAGTTGAAGATTAAGTGTACTGGTTTTCTGTTGAACGTGAAGGACACAACAGTTTCCAAGCAACAATCGTTCAACGTGGAAAAGAACACTTCTTTTTTCCTTTTAGACTTTAAAACTCAAACAACTTTAAATACATAATTAAAGCTTGAAATAGTTATTCATTGGTTAAAAAGGAGGTGTTTTGTTGGTGGGTAATGATGATTTAAAGGAAAATGAAAGAGCTTTTCCGAAACCCCAAGCAGAGACAAGCCATGACTGAGCTCACATCACATGTATCTCAGCATTTAACAAAACCACCTTCACTTTATGGCATTCCCTGTGCTATTACGTGGGAAGTTTGATCCTAAATGAATTCAAACAAAACATTTCATCTTCAATATCACGGTCATTTTATTGAAAAAAAGCAGAATTATAAAAGCTATAAGAAAGTTGATGGAAACAGAAAAAAATATGAGTTGGGGCTTTCAAGTTTTATTTATTAATTTTATTTTATCGTTTATGAAATGAGATTAAAGAGGTTGCATGTCTTTTCAGAGTTCAATCAATTCGTCTAGACACATTTGGATTGAATGACAGGACAGGTGAGCTTTCTTTCTAAGAGGATGAAAATCAATTCACAATCCAGAAACCGTAAACCTAGTTGAAATATCATTAGCAAAAAAGGAAACTAGAAATATGTGGAGTATTTGTTATGCTGCACTCGACTGGACAGCATAAAAAACCAGCGACTCTACTGGAAGTATCCAAATCGTGTTTGGAGACGTCTCGACTCTCGACACTAACTACTTTATTACCAATCGAGGCGCAAACCGCGGGGCCACGGATCTCCTTTTTTCTTCGCCTTATGTCAAGACTCAAGGCTATGGGCCTTGCAACTCCAACTTAATTTATTTGGGATAATAACAAATTTCATCCCTAGGATTTGGTCTAGATAACTTCAGTTCAATATGATTTTTTCAACAAATTTTGGTCCTTCAGGTTTGGTTTAAGTAACAATATTATCCCTCAGCTTTGCTAATGACAAGGACCAAAATATTATTGATAACTACAACTAGGGGTGAAAACCAAGCCGAGCAGCTCAAGCTCAAGCTTGAGCTCAAATACTAATTTGAGTCGAGTTCAATCACTATATAACTTATCTCAAAAAGCTCGATTATACAAGCTCAAATTCGAACTTGATTTCTAATTTCAAATATCGAATTTGAGTTTGAACTCGATTCCTCAAGCTTGATCAGACTCGAATTCAATACTGTAGCAATTAAGTCGAGTTCGAGTAGTCAAATACTCGACTTGACTCGACTTGATTTCAACCTTAGCTAGGACGAAGCCATTAAGGGGTGCATGGGGGCATGAGCCCCCACTAGGCTTGGAAGAATTTTAATTATATCCTTCTTCTACTCTATATTTTAACATTAAAACCCCTTTGTTTTATTTAATCAAAATAGCCTAAATCTAAGCATTTTCATCACTTTTTTTTTTTTTTTTTTTTTTTTTGAAATATCAACCATATTTAATTCGTTTCTTTTGTTTTATCTTGTGAATAAAATATACAATATAAGAATTCTTAATACAGATTATGATTCCAAATAATTCTCTCTTTTCGACCTAATTTATCTTAATCTATTCAAATAGTAGTATGCTTTTTTTTTTTTTTTTAAATTATAGATAAGATTTTTATGGTTATTATTATTTTCAAAGAACTGAGATAAAATATAGTTTTGGGATTAATGGATAAATAATAATTTCACTGCACTAAATTATTTTGAAAGTATTTTTTTTAAAGTAAGGAGCTTTATGATTAAAAAAAAAAAAAAAGTTTGAAAACTATTTGAAAACATAGTCACATGATAGTATTTCTTTAATAACCAATCTAATATTATTTTTAATTCTAAAAAAAAAAAAAAAACTTTATCAATCGGAACATAAAATAAACAAAAAATTATTTGGGTTTTTAATTTAATTAACCAAAATTTTGGGGGCTACAAAAGTTGACCAAAATTTTAAACCCTATACCCATATAACCACAGAATTCCATTTTCCAAAATTACCCTCATATATAAACAAAATTTTCTCTCGTATCCTTCCATTTAAAAAGAAAACAAGGGTTTTGGAGCCGATTTTGATTTTCGAAATTTCACTCATTGCATTAATATGGTATTAGATTGATTAAACTCATGATCTTGATTGCACTTTGATTGATTTTCGGACGATTTTGGTTGTGAGAATGAAGTCAACCGTGACACTTTGAAAGGAAGTTTTTCTTCAATCGGAAATCGATAGAGATGGGCAAAAAGATTTGTTCCTTGACTCTTTGACACTTGTTACTACTAATTTATCATACGTTATTACTAGGGTTTATGTAAAATTTTAGGGTTTAAGGTAAGTTTTCTTTATTTTATATGTTTAGGGTTAATGTGATTATTGTTGTGGAAGTTGTTATTTTTATGAATGCTATGAGTGTTGGTGGTGAGGTGGTGGTTGTGTTTGATCTTCATAGAAGTTTATTGGTTGTGTTCGTATTGGATTAGATGTTTTTTGTTGATTTCGACTCTTAATGTGATTTTTTCTGATTAGGGTGATTTTCCATGCCAACTGGCTAAAACATATGCCAATAGACAAAAAGTTCTACACTAGTCGCATAGATATCTACGCCAACTAACATAGGGCAAATTTACCTTTTTCACCTGGCATGGTATTTTACACAATGAGCGCAAAACATTAGATCTATTGGCGTAATTTTTAGCTAGTTAGCATAGAGAATTACTCTAACTCGAAAATGGCCATATGCCTATACACTTCTTTCCCAGATAATGCATCCTTAATCTCAATTTTTTTTTTTTTACATATTTTACGCTATTAATTCACAAAAATATCTTACAACAATACTCATATTAAGTATAAACCAACGTAATAAAAGACAGAAACATCATTTTAAGTTAAGATTAAAAAAAAAAATGTAAGGATATAAAGATTTTTAAGTTAAGATCGATCTTTTAATCTGAATGTAATGCCTTTTCTTGCTTGATATAGAGTTCTTGCAGTGAGAGATTGCAAACGGGAGTTTGAAGTGATAAGGTTTTTTCTTTAAGTGTTAGGAGTTTCGGGATGAGGGTATTATAGTATTTAATTAAAGAAGGTTGTTAAATGGGCATAGGGATGACGATTTTGGTTAATTTTTCTAGCCCCCAAAATTTTGATCATTTAAGTAATAATAATAAGAATAAGGATCCTTAAAATTATAATTTTCATGTAAATATATAAAGCTTTGAAAGAAACTTTGAGAAGAGAATTAAAATATTTCTTTACCGATTTACCCTTTGTTAAAGCAAGAGAGCACAAAACCCCAACTCTTAACTTCTGAGCCGTCTTTCAAATGAGGATAAAGCCCATTATCATATAATTATTAAGTTTAAAGATGGAATCCCTAGATTCAACTGAATAAAAAGGGGGCTTAATTTACAAAACAATCATATTACTAAGACAAACAATGTTGAATTTCTTTATTTATTCTATTTGAACAGAAAACAGAAGATGCTGATTTATTGATCTAAACATACAAGTAAACACCAAAGTTAAAAGAGATGAACGGATTAACGTAACGAGGTATGATTGGTTGTCTTATTCCTCCATACCAAAAGGAATGCAGAGGCCGTCTCCCCAATTGTTTTTGCGTGGAAGTATTATTGTTATATGTGAAGCAGAGAGAGCTTGATTCACCAGCTCTCTCCTCAGAATCTTTCCAGCAGAAGATTTTGGAATAGAATCGATAAAAGCAACACGGCGTATCTTTTTATGTCTGAAACACCATCTCTTTTTAATAATTCGTATGCTAAAATAATATTTGACATTCTTTATAAATAATGTTGAATGTAGCTATTGATATTTGGATTTGGGATCAGCTGAGCCTCAGTGATGCTACTTCCAGGTTTTCTCACCACAAACGCCATGGGAATTTGCCCTGCTTCTTCATCAGGGTACCTGAACTTTTCACAAACATAAAAATTCATAATAGGCATATATATATGGAATTATGGAAATGAATGAAAACTGGATACATACGGAATAACAGCCGCATCAGCAATGTCAGGATTGAATAGAAGTACATATTCCAATTCTGCCGGGGGTACCTGCAATTACATTAACTTCCATATCACCATTTGCTTGTTGAATATGAGTCAAGATAAACTATATGTTGAGTAATTGAATAACCTGATATCCATTGTATTTTATTAATTCCTTCAATCTATCAGCAACAAACACGAATCCATCAGAGTCAAAATAACAAAGGTCTCCAGTCTTTAACCATCCATCTGAATCCAAAGTTTTAGCAGTTGCCTCTTCATCTCCCAAATAACCTGAACCAGCACAGAGCCAACATCATTCTATTTCTGTAATCAGCACCAAATAATTGAGAGATTTATTACTTGAAGATTATATACAGATAATAAGGGTGTGGCGTTACCTTTCATGACTGTTGGGCCACGCAACCACAGCTCCCCTTTCTGGGCAGGAGATAATGCTTCTCCACTTACAGTATCAACTATCTTGGCTTCCATAAGTTCAGCTAAGCGACCAACAAAACCAAACTTCTTTGACTCATCCTTAGGCCCTCTCATCCCCGCCACCATTCCTGCCGTCTCTGTCAGACCGTATTCCTATCACAAAAGAAGAACAACAACAAAGCTCAAACTTTTAATATAAAAGAAAACAATTAAAGAAGAGGAACATAGTAAAGTCTTTACTTACTTTCACAATATTCACGTTGGGGAATTTCTCTCTGAAACCTCCTTACCAAGTGGGGCGCCACCGCACACCAGCCACTTCAGCGAGCTGAGATCATACTTTTATGTTAATTCCGTCTTCACCAATGACACAATATACGAGCGCGAAACCGGAGTGTAAGTGGCCTTATACTTCTCCACGGCTTTCAGCATTTCCTCATCAAACTCAGGCCTCTCCAGTAAAACCAGAGCCAACCCCAATTGCAAATGCCCTCATCGTAATCACTAACCCAGAAATGTGAAAAAACGCACGTGTACTTAATGAAACGTGCTGTAATTGTCGCAGTTGAGTGGGATCATTCGCATAGTAAAAGCCAGCAATGGCCGCTATCAAGTTCCGTTGAGTCAGTAACACGCCCTTGCTACGACCAGTCACTCCTGAGGAGTACATGATTACTGCTATATCAGACTGACTCCCCCAATGTTCTCTACTGTTAAAACTGCAAATAATGTTCTCATGTTGAGTACTTAATAAGGACAGAAACTCGGGCGAGTCGATCAAGATTGTAGGGATATGGGAGGGGAGCTTGTGGGAGGTTTTTGAGGTAGCAAAGGCGATGGTGGGTGTACTTACTTGGACTTGGTGAGTTATCTAGGAGATGGAATCGTCCAGGTTAGCAGGTGAGACAAAAACACCTAAGGAGAGTAGAGAAAAGTAGAGGATAGGAATGTGGAGGGAAGAAGGGGATAGGATGAAAGCCTCGTTGCCTTTGGAAAGAGAGTAGTGTTTTTGAAGGGAGCGAGCAAGAGAGTTGGTTTGGTGGAGGAAGTCGGCATGGGTAAGACAGTGGCCAGTGGCGGCATTGATGAGAAACGTGGTGGTGGAATGAAGAAGTTTGAGGATGAAGTGTGAGATGGAGAGAGGTTGAGAAGGTGGCGGGAGAGGAATATTTGGCCTGAGACTGTGGAATGTTTTGGTTAGTGAACAGAAGCCACTGTTTGGATCAACCAGACCAACGGGGTTTGTAGTTTCTGCCATCAATGGAGCTTAATTCAAATTAGAAAGAGAGAGAGAGAGCAATTGCAGCTATTATTGAACTAGTTTTATTGGCAGTGGATAGAGGATGATATGAGAGGGAATATTTAAGGAAAAGTATACCTTGCCAGATCGGATTAATCGCCACTAAGAAAATTTTGTTTTTCAATGAAATTACAATTAAAAAGATACACAGAGTTTAGACCCCAGATAGATTCAATCGACTGCACATCGATTCTAACATTGGGATATTGTTTTTCTCTTTTGGAATCTAAGGAAGCAGACTATAAATATTAAAATAGTTTACAATGTTATGTTATTCACTATGAGGTGTGAGGATCTTGTGCGCCACACCGGCGCCAGGCTTAACTTTCTGAAAAAACAGTTAATTGATTTGCTTAATAAACGAAGAGGTCAGAGGTAAATGAATTCTTAACATCCATTTATCTAATTATTTGTTGCAGGCCAAAGTTCCACGTTAAACACAATTTACATCTTTACAATCTAATAAACAAACAATAATTTACACAAAACAAATTACAAGCTCAACCTTATCCTATTACAAACAATACCTTCAGTCCTTCACTCTTCCTCCGCAACAATACAGCCACTTCATTGTAACTAACTAATTCATCCCCACAAATAAAATAATATATTACAGATACCATGCATGCCAATTTCAGGATCAGGGGTGATGATACCTGGACGATAACGTCAAATCCAACATCAAGAGTTGTTTGAGCAGAGGAGAAATCATAGTTTAGAGAGATTGGCAGAGAGAGCATGAGTGATCAGCTCTCTCCTCAAGATTTTTCCAGCAGGGGATTTCGGAATAGAATTTACAAAAGCAACACCTCTTATTTTCTTGTATGGTGCAACCTGCAATAAGGAAGAACATGAAAAACATATGTAAGCTGAAACCATACATGGTTCTTCAAGTAATATATGAAATGTCAACGATTAGTAGAAACAGAGTACTATCTAGAAGGCAAGAGGCTTTTTTTCAAAGGGAGCCATAAGATTACTGTGTAACTTCTTATCCTGTCAAAACAATTAAATAAAGGTAACCAAAACCCACCATGTAACAATTATATATTCCATCTTTATGCAACATGAAGTCACCAAATTAGAGTGTTGTGACTATAATTGACAAAATGCAAATATCAATGTATGTTCTTAAGCCCAAGAAATCGCTTTAATTTAAAATTTTGAAAATTGGATACATGCCTGTTTTGCAATGAAATCCATTACTTGATTCTCAGTGATATAGCTTCCAGGTTTTCTCACCACTAAGGCCACAGGAATCTCCCCATCTTCTTCATCTGGGTATCTGCTTAAAAATAAAACAAATGGATAAGAACTGGCACTGTTAAACCACTAATTTTTTATTTATTTTTTTGCTTTCAAATGTACTATTATACCCCTCAACTGCTGGTTATAACAATAAATTATTACTGCTGCTTAACAGTTGGATTTTCAGACCCAGCAAAGTAAAAGACAAGCCACAAATATGACACTGGATGAGGACAGAAATCCTGACAAATTGGATATTAGACCGTGTTAATAGCTTAGGATAATTATCAATCTCACAAAGGCACAAACCATGTGCATTCCTCTTTTACCTACAGAATGTAGCATAGAGTTTTCTCTTAGAAATCATGTTTCAAAGTAATGAAAATGCCATACAGACGTAATGGTTAACAAGGAAAAGCACACGTAGAATAGTTCAACATGGAAAAAAAAAATGACACTAATTACAAATGCATACGGAATCACAGCAGCGTCACTGATTTCAGGATTTGATTGAAGCAAATGTTCCAACTCAGCCGGGGTAACCTGCAATAATGTTCCAGGTAAACCAGATGATCATAACTTTATTGACCTAAAACCATATGTCTATGTTAAATGACAATGTTGATAAAGAGATTGATTAAATCACCTGGTATGCCTTGTATTTGATAATTTCCTTTAGCCTATCAACAATGAAGAGGAAACCATCAGAGTCAAAATAACAAAGATCCCCAGTCTTTAACCAGCCCTCTGAATCCAAGGTTTCAGAAGTTGCCTTGTCATCTCCTACATAACCTGCATTAACACCGCCATTTATGGGTGGATATATGTGAATTAAGCTGCAGGTTACCAAGTTCAGTTTTACAGAATTTGTTACCTTTCATGACAGTTGGCCCTCGCAGCCATAGCTCCCCTTTCTGGCCCGGAGATAGAGCTTCTACAGTTACAGGATCAACAATCTTAGCTTCCAATAGTTCTGTTAGAAGACCAACAGAACCATACCTCTTCGCCTCATTCCGCCCCCTTATTGCTGAAATTCCTCCACCCTCAGTCATACCGTATCCCTAATACAAAGAAGAAACAATTAGCTTTCAACAAGAGGCAGGAATTCACAAGCCATTTGCACTAAATATGTGAGAGTATGCAAGAACATAGTAATTCCCTGCATATTTAACATCAATTACTAGCTTCTTTTATAAAATACATAAATAAATAAATAAAGCTAATTCTATTTCACCAGCAAAAGCTCCATGTGGGGAAATTTATCGTTGAACTTCTTAGCAACCTCCACCCCAAGAGGCGCACCGCCGCATATAAGCGACCGAAGCGAACTAAGATCATACTTGTTTGGCAATGCCGATTTTAATAACATCACAACCACCGGAGGCGAAATCGACACGCTAGTTATTTTATACTTCTCCACACACTTCAACATTGCCTCAAAATCAAACCTCTCCGTCAAAACCAAAGTCCCTCCCGTGGAAACCGCCTTCATTACTTCAAAAAAACCAAAAACATGGAACAGAGGTATCGTCAATAACGACACTTCCCGCGCTTTACTTGGATTAGCTTTAAACCCGACATGGTGGAGTATCGCAATCAAAGCGATGACGTTTCGGTGAGTCAACAACACGCCCTTCACTTTCCCGGTCGTTCCTGAAGAGTAAAGAATGGCTGCCGAGTCGGATTGTTGAACGGAAATAGTACAATCCGTTAAATCAACGTTCTGATTTTGGAGGTTTTGAGTTGATAAGGAGATGAACTGCGGCGAATCGATGAGGATGGCAGGGAGATTGGAGGGGAGTTTGTGTGAGGTATGTGACGTGGCAAAGGCGACGGAAGGTTTGCTGACGTGGACTTGGTGAGAGATTTCGGAGTGGGAGCTGAGGGGATTGGCGGGAGAAATAATGACACCAAGTGAGAAGAGAGAGAAGTAGAGAACAGGGATTTGGAAAGAGGAAGAAGCGAGGATAAAAACGACGTCGCCTTTGGATAGAGAGTAATGAGTTCGGAGTGAGAGGGAAAGAGAGTGAACCTGGAGGAGAAAGTCAGCATAAGTAAGGCGCTGATCGGTGACGGAGTTGATGAGAAACGGAGTTTGAGAAACGTTGGTGGCGGTGGATTGGAGGAGAGAGAGAGTGAATTGCGTTATGGAGAGAGGTTGAGAGGGTGGCGGGAGAGGAACTTCCGGTCGGAGGCTGTGGAAAGTTTTGGTTAGTGAACAGAAGCCGGTGGCGGGATGGATGAAAACATTAGAGTTGGTTCCACTTCCCTCCATTGATGGAGATTCAAATTAGACAGAGAAGGTGATGGAGATAGTGGGATTAGGGGACTGTGATTAAGGATGATAATTAAATTAATTTAATAGAATATGCTTTGATTATCATGACACAGCTGATTGGATAAATTATAAATTTTGTCTGGATTTTCCGTCGGTGCATTATTTCACGTGCTTTTGATGTTTCAACTACCGTCAGGTACATGTCATTGACACGGTGATGGAACAATTATAAATGAGTAAACGACATGTTCCCACCCAAGGTTTGACGAAATCCCAAGTTAGTACCACTGATTTTATTTATTCTAGATTCTCACCCTTAAAGTAACAGTGTTATGAATTTTTAGGGTTTAGAGGGTACAATTACCATAATGCCCTTAACCTTAAATTAATTAAAATTATGTTTTAACCCCTAAAATAGTAGAATTACAAAACTTACCATTTTATTTTCAAATTATATCAAAAACACTCTCAGTCACTATACACCCTCACCGGAAACAGCCCGATCTTGGCTGTTTCCGACGACGTCGAACCCCCTGATCACCTCCATCACCTTCCCCGTAGTCCGTCGTCCAAAACCCCTCTGGTTCCCGACTCATTTGCCCCTCCAATCGCCGGCACCGTTAGGCTTAGGGTTTCGGTGTTCTTCACCGGATTTCGGTCGATTCCGGCGGTGAAAATCCAATTGGACACCACCAATGCAACAAGCGTCCCCAAATCTATAAAACCCCTATGTCCCCAGCAACCGTTTCGTCGTCATTCGCCGGCCGAGAGTTCGTGTTCATCGACCGTTTTTCGTTGCCGTGGCCGGAGATCGGCGAGTGATGAGTGGTTGTGAATGATATGGTTTTGTAGAGGGGAGGATGGGGGTTCAAATGGTGGTGACTAGGGTGATTTTGGGTGAAAGAATCGCCGAAAAAGAGCGAAAAATGTCGGGAACGACGGCTACTAACGTGCGCCGGAGGACTGGTAGAGGCGGTGGTCTGCTAACGTGCGCCGCCCATGTAAAATGACCAATTTACCCCTTTACTGTTATATCAAACGTTTTTTCGTCACTTTAAGGGTGGAAATTTGGAATAAATGAAACCAGTGGTACTAACTTGGGATTTCGTCAAACCTTGGGTGGGAACATGTCGTTTACTCATTATAAATCATTAAATCTTACCAGAAAGTTTGTACTTCATACAATATCAAGGAATCTAACTACTTCAAATAAAGAATAATTAGTAATTAATTTAACTTGTATTAAATTTGAATTTGAATTTTTATTAATTGAAGCTGACTTCTGGTCGAGGTGGGGCCGCAAGGATTTTACAATTAGTCTGTTTGTTTCCTAGCCAATAGGAATTAATTGATTACTTTATTGTTTTTTTTTTAAATCTAGTCTATAGGAATTGGTTGATTTTACCTAGTCTTTAGCTTCTACTAGTGGTTCCTAATTTCTTGCCACTAGCAGCTGCTTTTAGCCCTATATAAAGAGTATTAGTCTAGTATTTTTTAATCATGCACAGCAATAAAAGTTACAAAGCTATGGACACCGATTATTGTATCGAAAATGTGTACCAGCTTACGTGTATCACTGGCCTGATGGTACTCGCCTCTTTTGTCACAAGTACTTAGCCTGTAGGTCTTGTGTTCGAGACGTGGGAAAGACGAAAGAAACCCACTTGCAGGGATGGGGATATCCGGATGAGGGAGGGCCCAAGATGAGGGGGCGCATGTGGAAAGCCCATGAGGCCCCAGTGTGCCAAGATTAGGATAGCTCATGGCCTAAGATGAGGGGGTCCTCACAGAACACACATCCTGTGTTCGTTCGAACACGAACACGAACAATCGAACATGCTTATCGAACGATTTTTGAACGGGCCTGTTCGTTTATGTTCGGTTCGATTGCAGGCCTATATTGTGAGGACACTAACACAAGAGTACATGGGAAAATGTACAATATCCTCAATACCATAGTTCATATTTCAGTTTCAAGTTCAAATGAACACATAAACGGATCACCATATGGTGTGTTTTCAAGCCCAATCCAGGCTGGTTGTAGACCACTGTACACCTAATTGTCAGCTGACCTTAGCACATGAAAAATGAAAATAAATAAGTTCAGTATATCCAAATAAAGAGCAACAGAGGCCAAAATATATTTGTCATGTGGGAAGCGCTTGAACAAATGATCAGTGTCATAGACTATGTATCCGCAGAAGACCAAAGAACTAATTCCACCATATACAACAACAGTCGTTGATCCAAGAGGAAAGAACATCTTAAACATAACAAAAGGATTTTCAAATCCCATAACAAAAATTACAAATACGTATGCAAAATCATGCACATATTTAATGAGGACGATGAAGCAATTTAACAGAACCGAGATCTCATACCTGCATAAAGCTAGTCAGGAAGAGGATAATGAGGCTGGTAAATAAAATTGGTTCAAAGAAGCTAAAGTCCTTGCTCTTGTTAGAGGCCCATAAATTGTACTTAGTTAAAGAGCACACTACGACTGAGATTAGAATTAGTGCTTTGAGCACAATCCTACCTGAAAATCAAATGCACAACAAGAATGAAGTCATAGTGGTAAAATGGGGAGCACCACTACGCAGAGTAAATTCAATCGGTCAAAATTCCGTAGATCTGAGAGTAGAAATTAGATATATATTTTTCATAATCTACTATGGGTACCCAATAGATTATGAACAATAATGCACATATGTCAATATTGTTGCTAGCAGTGCAATAGCAACAATTGTTCAATTAAATTAGGAATATATCCTAGATTACGTAAGGATAAAAGCTAAAAGATACTTGACTAACTAAGATTAACAATTCCTTAAGTTTAGGACTGTAGAAACGCTTGAGACCGGGGCTATGAAACATATATACAAGAATCCCAATTGTAAAATAAAGTAAAATACCTTAACTCTGAGCAATGGTAATTTGATCTCTGATCTATCAACAATCTTCCTGTAGATCTCTCTATGAGATTTCTAACCTGAAATTAAATGAAGTTACAACAATATATACTATTAATGTATAGGCGCATATTACACTAGCTCCTGGGATTACAATCACAAGAAAGTCAAAATAACCCTTGACACTTTGTATAAATGTTCAAGAACTGAATTTTGATCATTGGGATTCATGTAAGATTCATCATTCATACAATTTCTGCCATGAAAATTGAGTTAGCCATATAAAGATCTTCAGAAAGATGAAAAAAAAGAAAATAAATTACCTTTGTATATTCGAAGGGCCTCACAGAAGTCACAGGTATCTTGGTTGGACTACATTGATTACCCTATACCACAATGCATGAATTTTGACACAGTGAAAACAAATGAAACAATGATACCGCCTGTTAAAAAGACAATTAAGGTTGTTTTTCCCAGTAAAAACCTTTATGTCAAATAGAAGCACATGTTTTTGCTTTGATTCTCCATCAATCAATGATGTTGCCACTGAAGAATTTCTCTAATAGGAAATGAAGAAAATAATTAAAAGAATTAAAGAGGAAGCAGAGCTTACCGTGCATACAATTCAAGCAAGGAACTGGAAATTAGTCTAGAAATTTCGTTTTTCGGATTCAATAATGAAATTTCATGACTTAGCCTTAGATTTCATTACCAATAAGCAAGCTGTGAGTTACTCCTTCCTGCATTAAAAACCACAGCAAGATCAGCGCTGGCAGCAGGATCCGAAATTCAAAGAAAAAAGAGTAGAGATACAGTCCGAGATAAACAACTGTAATGAAATGAACAAATAAAGAAATGGATAGAGTTAAATTCCCTCCATATCTGTTTATGAATCATAATTAGCAAAATCCTATCATAATTAAAAAAATAAAAGAGATAGAGACAGAGAGAGACATAAGGGATATGAACAGACGGACAAAATGGAGCAGAGAGAGGAAAGGGAGAAGGCCAGAATTGCCCCTCAGGAGGTTGTTGATGGAAGAGTAGAGAAGGTGACGGAGGAAACAAGAGTGGTCAACACGATCAAGGCGGTCGAAATTCCGTAAACTTGACGGATGAATCCCCAACGGAGCTGGTGTAGAGGTTGACCTGGTGCGGCTGTGGTAGCGGCTGCATTTCGCCTGAGATTGGGGAATGTGGTGGCTAGGGTTCTAAAATTGAAAGGAAATCTGGGAAAAACTTTAGGGTTCGAATTTAAGTGAAAATGAAATTGATTTAGGATTTGGATTTAGGGAAAATCAAATTTGAAATTTGTTATTGTTATTGTTATTGTCAAATTTTTTTTATTTTTTTTATTTTTGGTGGGAGTGACGTGATATTTTGCTGGCATTGCAGATGAGATGGCATCTGCCACGTCAACTGCTGTAAGAGAGTATTGTATGTATAGTGTTATTAAATAACAAAATGCCAACATGTATAACAGATTATCAGGTGACCAGGACTGACAATCTGAGGACCACTTACATATTTTGCTCTGTTTTCAAATTGTGATCCTACCACTTACAACACAATTGTCAAGAATCAAAATGACAGAAGGCTATGAATGATAAAATTTCAGCCATTGAAAGAAGTAACACTTGGGAGTTGATTGATCTTTCAAAAGGGCACAAGATAATTGGTGTCAAGTGGGTTTACAAACCAAAATCTAAGGAGAATGGTGAAATTGACAAATACAAGACGCAGTTAGTAGCTAAAGGCTATAAACAAGAGTTTGACATTGACTATAAAGAAGTATTTGCTCCGACTGCAAGGCACGATACAATCAGATTGACAATTGCTTTGGCAGCACAAAATTCATGGCCTATCTTTCAATTGGACATGAAATCGACATTCTTGCATGGTGATTTTGAAGAATAGGTATTTATCGATCAACCTTTTGATTATGTTAAGATTGGAGATGAGAATAAGGTTTATAAATTAAAAAAGACACTATATGGACTAAAACAAGCTCAAGGAGCTTGATATAGTCGTATAGATGCTTATTTTTCTAAGGAGGGATTTAAGAAATATCCATATGAACATACACTTTTTACAAAAATTAGTGATGGAGGAAAGATGCTCATTGTGTGCCTATATGAGGATGATCTTATTTACATTAGAAATGATAGATTGAAGATTTTAAACAGTCTATGATGGTTGAATTTGAAATGATTGATATTGGATTAATGCATTATTTTTTGGCTATAGAAGTTAAACAATCAGCTGTTGGAATTTTTATTTCTCAAAAGAAGTATGTGCGAGAAATTTTATACAGGTTTCAAATGAAGAATTGCAATTCTGTTAGCACACCAACTGAGTGGGTTTGAAGCTCATCGAAGATTCTGAAGGGAGGAGGGTTGACAACACACTTTACAAGCAAATTGTGGGAAGTTTGATTTATTTGACTGCCACAAGGCCTGATATAATGCATGTCATAAGTCTCATCAATAGGTACATGGAGAGCCCAAGGGAGATGCATCTTCTAGCTGTAAAGAGAATTTTGCGTTACTTATAAGGTAATGTTGATTTTGGATTGCTATACAAGAAGGGACAAATTTCGGATCTGATGGACTTTACTGACAGTGATTATGTTGGAGATCAAAATGATAGGAAAAACACTTCGGGGTATGCTTTTGTGCTCGGTTCAGGAGCTGTCTCATGGTCTTCAAAGAAACAACCAATTGTCACTGTATCAACAACCGAAGCTGAGTTTGTAACGGTAAAATCTTGTGCTTGTCAAGCTATTTGGCTAAGGAAAATTCTTGAAAAGCTACATTTCAAGCAAGAAGGGGCCACCACAATTGATTGTGGCAGTAGTTCAACAATAAAGCTCAGAAAAAATCATGTTCTACATGGTCAAATCAAGCATACTGATGTGAAGTATCATTTCTTGAGAGATCTTGCAAACAATGGAGACATTAATCTAATATACTACAAAAGTGAGGACCAGATTGCTGATATTCTAACTAAGCCCCTCAAATTTCCAATGTTTCAAAAGTTAAGAAAGCTTCTTAGTGTCTGCACTGCATATGATTCTTATTAAACTGATGTTTCAGACAAAACATTCAATTTAAAGGGGGGATTGTTGAATTAGTGTGGTTGTTTCCCAGTCAATAGGAATTAATTTATTAGTTTATTGTTTACCTAGTCTATAGGAATTGGTTGATTATACCTAGTCTTTAGCTTTCACTAGGTTGTTCCTAATCACTTGCCACTAGTCGTTGCTTTTAGCCCTATACAAAGAGCATTAGTCTCGTACTTTATAATCATGCAAACTTGCAAAGCAATAAAAGTTCTATTTCTTCTTCCTTTTGTCTTCTTCATTTCTCCATATTCAAATGTTCTATCATTTGTAACAGTTATCATATCGATTGGAGTGACGCTACTAACAGTTGATTTTGAAGCATAACACTGTTTTTTTTATTGAGCAGATGGAAACAACAAAAAACAAACTACTCCCAATTTTGGCAATAACAAAAATCAAATACTCCGAGGTCATAAATTTTTAAACATTTATGTAATCTATGATAATGAGTAACTAGCCGATGTTGAAAAATATATATTTCTCAACATCAAAATAATACCCCTGGTTTTTGATTAATCACAATTTAGACAAATTGGTAGAGACTGCATGAGTGACCAGTTCCCTTCTCAAGATCTTTCCAGCAGCAGATTTTGGTATTGAATCGATGAAAGCCACACGTCTTATCTTCTTGTATGGCGCCACCTGCAATCAGGAGTGCATCAACATAACTAGCTGAACCCAGCATTTGACATAGTAGTTCTTGAAATAATACACTATTGCAAATGATTACTTTACAGAGGGCAGATTTTTCTTTATAGATTCTCAGTATTAATCAGACAATGGATTCTCATATCATGAGCTTCTTTATGAAGGCTTATTCATAAAGGAGGGGGTTTCTCTTTTTTCCTACTTTCCAGAAACAGTCAATCAAGGATGAAAAATTCTTCTTATATCCTTTTTGTTAGAAGATAAGTTTCAGGAAAAAATAAAATTGGCTGCTTACTTAATCATCTGGTTACATTTGCATAGCCCAGAAGGAAAACTACTGCTTTACTACTGATTATATAAGTCTAAATTCGTGTTCAAGAATTCTGGTGTTTGCACCAAAAAAATAAAGCAATGGACCTTTTCTTGAAGGAAATCTAATTTCCTATAGTTGGTATATACAATTTAAAGATATAAATACACTACCATATAAAAAGATGGGAAGATGTCATAACATAAAACACATCAAACATTAAATTACGTCTTTGTGCAACAAGAGGCCAACAATTGAGAAAGTACTGTGTGCCCGTGATTGATGAAATGCAAAATCAAAAAGACATCATTTCGGCCTTTTGACCCAAAATATTCTTCTTTGTAATGTTGGTTTTCAGAAGCATACCTGTTTTGCAATGAAATCCATTACTTGAGCTGCAGTGATATTGCTTCCAGGTCTTCTCACCACAAAAGCCATGGGAATCTGTCCTGCTTCTTCATCAGGGTAACTGTTTGAGAATAAACCAAATGGTCGAGAGATGAGCCAGGCACCCACACAATCATGACAGATAAACGTAATTCCAAAGGAAGGCTACTAAACTTTAAGATGCATCAGAGGAAAAAAAAAAAATGTTTTCTTAGCCCCTGTAGCTCCTGGTTTTATCTATAATTAAGTTATTAATTGATGTACATTATCTCTCCAATTTTTCAAACTTAATAAAAATCTGACAAATCAAGGAACAAAGAAACCAGTCACAACTGTGCTCCACCTATGATTGACCTTCCTAAATCACATGTTATGCAAGTTGTAAGTGCAAGAAAAAGAAACATGTGCTGAATAACTGTTGCCTGAGAACTTTGGATGTTAATATAAAAATCCTGGGTACCCACCATTGCTTTGCCTACACATATTATATATATTTAACATAAAAGCTCTCTTAAAAACAATTCACTGAAGTAGTGAACAAAAGAAAGCTTTCTAGACACGTGTAAAAGTTTTGAGTCATTGTTATGATGTTACACACCATTAGCGCCAAACAATCAAGAATTTCTACATGCATTCAATATGAAAAAAAAAAAATTGACAGTAAACACATACGGAATCACGGCCGCATCAGCAATTTCGGGATTGGACTGGAGTAAATGTTCCAACTCAGCTGGGGGAACCTGAAATAATATTTTAGATGAGATAACATTGTTCACATACGTAATATGCTTTAAAGAAAAATGTATGTAGAGATTCAGAGTAATTAGCTAACCTGATATGCCTTATACTTGATCAATTCCTTTAATCTATCAACAATAAATAAGAACCCATCCGAGTCAAAATAACAAAGATCCCCAGTTTTTAACCAACCATCGGGACTAAAGGCTTCAGCTGTTGCCTTGTCATCTCCTATATAACCTGCACAAGTAGTTACCAGAGATTGCATAATCAACAAAAATAATTTAATATTTTGCTTTCAAACTATGTCGAAATATATAAAACCTGGAAAGAAAGTGTAAGCGATTTACAAATTCTGTTTTTAGGCATCACTAGCATGCAATTAAATACATAGGTGGGAAGCATTTTGACTAGACAATTAGCGTACTTTCTCAGATGATTACCTTTCATAATTGTTATTCCTCGCAACCACAGCTCCCCTTTCTGACCCGGAGGCAGAGCTTCTCCAGTTGCAGGATCAACAATCTTCGCTTCCAAAAATTCGTATAAACGACCAACAGAACCCAATCGATTTGCCTCATCAGGTCCCCTCATCCCTGCCCCCACGCCTCCAGTCTCGGTCAAACCATATCCCTAAGACAAAAATCAATAATTAAGCACTCGCTAATCAACATGAAATTTGTAAATGTATTATCACGGAAGATTATGAAACACAAAGTAATTCTTCAATCACTACCACGCTAACCAATTTTATGTAGTTTTAAAAGTTCTAATAAGAAATGCTAACCTTACAAAGATGTATATAAAAAGAGTCATACAAAGACAAATCTTATCCTTAATTTTCATGATTGTTTTTCTCTTTCTTTTTCCCTTCTTTCAAGAGTGGATTTATCTTTGTATACTCCTCTTTATATACATCTTTATAAGCGTAGTATTACTCAAGTTCTAATACCCCCTTACCTGTATAATCTCCACATGTGGAAATTTCTCCTTGAACTTGAGGGTAACCTCCTTACCAAGGGGAGCACCGCCGCTGTGCAGCAACTGAAGCAAGCTAAGATCGTAGGATTTAGTCAACTCCGATTTTGCAAACGCCACAATTAATGGTGGCGAAACCGCCATGCGACAGATTTTATATTTCTCAATAGCCTTTAACATCGTCTCAAAATCAAATCTCTCCATCACGGCCAAAGTATAAGTATTAGTGAACGTCAGAATTAACGCTAGAAAACCGTAGACATGAAACAGAGGGAGTGGTGATAACGAAACCTCATGCAGCGATTGAGCTTCAATTGAGTCAGTTTGGGATTTCGAATGGTAGAATGCGGCGGCCAAAGCGATTAAGTTTCGGTGAGTCAACAACACGCCTTTCACTTTCCCGGTTGTTCCGGAAGAATAAAGAATGGCGGCCGAGTCAGACTGATCAACAACCGGAGTCGTGAAATTGACGTCGTCGTTTTGTGTTTGAGTGGACAAGGAGACGAACTCGGGGGAGTCGATGAGAACAGTACGGAGATTGGAGGGGAGTTTGTGTGAGGTGTCAGAGGTTGCGAAGGCAATAGAAGGTTTGGTGAGTTGGAGTTGATGAGAGATCTCGGAGGCGGAGGCGAGTGGATTGGCGGGAGAAATAACGACGCCGATGGAGAGGAGCGAGAAGTAGATAGCGGGAATGCGAAAAGAGGAAGGTAAGAGAATGAAAGCGACGTGGCCTTTGGAGAGAGAAAAGCGTGTCCGGAGAGAAAGGGAGAGAGATTGAACCTGGTTGAGGAATTGTCCATAGGTGAGACGTTGATCGGTGACGGCGTTGATGAGAAAGTCGACGTCAGGGGTGGTAGTTTGAGGGAGGGAAAGAAGAAATTGAGTGATGGAAAGAGAATGAGAGAGCGGAAGAGGAACTTGGGGTCTAAGGTTATGATAAGTTTTGGTTTGAGAAGAATAACCGCTTTTAGGATCGATATTTGTTCCCGCCATGAATGGAGATACAGTTAAAACGAGAGACTAATGAAGAAGATGAAGATGATGAGAGAGTTAATTAAGTGTTTGAAAGAAAGAGGGAATGAATTTTGTTCATGGCATTCAATTCAGAGTGGATGATTGACTTTGAATTTAATGGGAAATTGCCAGCGGAGCAGGTAAGGACTGTTGATTGTTAGTTGTTGTTTCATGTTTGCAAATAAAAACTTGTTCGTGCGTTGAATATAACTAAAATCTGAAAGGCTTGGGGCCCTGGCGGGTGCTTTAAATAATTGCCTCCACATGCACGCCTCGTCAGTCGTCAGATCCCCCCACCTGGAATCCCTGTTATCAACTAAGTTTTAAAAAACAATGTGAAACTCGTATCCCAAATTGTAATATTATTAACATTTATTTTAATTTTGAATTTGAATTTACTTATTTTTAATAGTCTTTCGAAAAGTACTCCCTTCCCTATGCAAAATATGCATATCCTCAGTGACCACGTGTATAGCAAAATTTGGTATTCAAATGAGCAATGGACAACAGGGAAAGCTTCAACCATGCAAGAAAACGTTTTTTTAATTTATTCCAAACAAGTGGATAACGAGTAATCAATATTTCTTATTTCAATAAGAAATTAATTTTGGTTAAATTATTCTGTTGACGGATATATATACTTAACTCTAAATTAATGCATAGTTGAAATAGATTTTAGATGATTAATTATTCCAACATATATATAATTATTTTTATTAAAAATTGTTCAAAAATAAACTATTTTATACCAATCATATTTAAAATAATAAAAATATATTTGAAATTATAATATAATTCTTATTTATTAGCGCGTGGAAGATGAATACCATTATTCTAATCTAATACTATCTCGAGTAAACGACATGTTCCCACCCAAAGTTTAGCCAAATTAAGCTTACCACCCCTAGTTTCATAAATCCCATATTCCCACCCTTAAATGAAAACCGTAAGTGATTGTTGAATGCTATTATCCTATTGCCCTTGACAAAACCCACCCATGGATTCATAAATTCTAATAGCCATTTTGGTTGCTTTCTCGTCGAAAAATCCACCAACCTAGTAGGAATCACTCCCCTAGCCCCCCTTTGACCAAAATTTGGCCTAATTGCACTGGATTTGCGCCTCCACCCATGACCTCCTCCGTTTTGCTATCGCCGTTTTCTGGCCAAATTGGTCTGATAACGACGTCTTTGGAACAACCCGACACCACCAAACACATCCCCTCACCTCCCTTATCAAAACCGCTATCATTTCCACTCCTCTGCACCATTAAATCGTCGACCGCCACTCAGTGGAATTGCGCGCTTCTTGTCGATTTCCAACCAATTTCGACAACAAAAACCTACCCCGACACCATCTTTTGATCCATTGGCATCCCCTCTCTAAAACCCCCACAACCCCAAGCTGTGATTGCTAGTTGGTTGTCGCCCACCACTTCCCCAATGAATTCTTAATAGTTGAAATTGGGTTTTCAATTGGAGTTTGTTTTGAAGCTTAGTTGAAGGGAAATTGATTGTTTATGGAAGTGTTTCTTATTGTTGTTGATTTTGTATTTTTTTTTGGCTGTTTCCCGTCGCCAGCCATAAAACCACCTGCTGGACCCTTTGCCCCAACCAACATCCAAGCTTCTCCCCCTTGTGTGCTGCTCCAGTGCACACAACCCACCGTGCACGAGCTCAAGTTCCCAGCTGTCACGAGGCCCTCATGCGGCAACCAAAATCTGGCCATTGTGAGGGCTAAGAAGTAGCCATTTGGCTACTGCTTCTTGGCCCTCTCGATGGCCAGATTTTGGCTGCTGCGTGAAGGCCTCATTGCAGTTGGATTTTGTGGCCACAAAGCCCTCACGGGGCGACCAAATTCTAGCCACTGTGAGGGCCAAGAATCAGCCATTTGATTGCTGCTTTTTGGCCCACGCAAAGGCCAAGTCTGGCCGCCATCAGAGAAATGTTAGAGAGAGAGTGCTTGTGAGAGAAATTTAAGACACAGAGGGTTGATTTTAAATTTTTATTTTTATTTCAAATTTATTGCGGTATAAATGACCATTTTACCTTGTATCCATTAAATTAAACGTTTTTGTGTTAATTTAAGAGTGGAAATATAGAATTTATGAAACAGAGGTAATAACTTGGGTTTATGTTAAACCTCGGGTAGGAACTGTCGTTTACACATACTATCTCTACAAATTTGCTTGTCAAATTTTTTAATGATTCATGTGATTACACATTTACACTGATTATCTAATATAATTGTTGATTAAAATAATTGGAAATACATTAATCCCTCTATCAAAAATGATATAGTCACCGAAGGTTGTGCACCAATTTCATGCACCGAATGACATAGCAAAATCTTGACTGTCGATTAATAATCAGTTAAAATTAATCAACGATCAGAATTTTATTACGTTATTCGATGCATGAATTCGATACACTATTTCAATGACAGTAGCATTAATCATCCGCTTATTGGCTAGTGCCAGATCTCAGTTATAAGTTTTTTTTTGTTTTTCCCTGTTAAATCAAACAGAGTACGGGTAAACACTAAAAGGTATCTACACGTATTTTTCAATTAAAATAAAATAAAAAAACATTAAAACCTAGTATTAGTTGGATGCCTGCAATCCAAACTGCCACGTGTCTTTAGTGGATTCTATAACAAAAAGCCAATTGTTCATCTTCCTTCTTCTATCGCGCCAAAACCAACGCAAATAAACCCTAAAACTCATCACAGTTTTAGGTAATGGCCTGAACAAAACAAACGGGGAATAAATAAATGAATAAAATCAAAAGTCAAAGTTCGTAAGTAAATACATTTTGAAGAGGCGAGGGCAAATAAGAAGTCGTCTACGTTTCTTGCGCTGGTTTTCTCCGCGCTGTATACCCTCCTCCTGAATCTCCCGACCAGGTAAACAAACTTAATTGTCTATCTTGTTAATTCGTTGGTTTCGGTGCTCGGTGATTTTGATTTTTCGGGTTTTAGGAGTTGGCCAAGATTTCGATAACTGAAAATTTTGAGTTTTTTTTTATCTTAATCAAGTTTTAATTTGATTTTTTTACGGAGATTTTTTTTCGGGAGAACGTAATTAAAGATGGGTTTTAGGGTTTTAAGTGACTGGTTATTGGGAAAATGTAGAAAAGTTGAGTGAGAAGCATAATATTATTGCTCTGTCATCGAAGTGGGTAACCATAGCATATCAAATTATTTTCTCTGGTTTAATTGAGTGGAAGGAGGGAAACGCGAAATAACTTCACTAAAGTTCATCATCATATGCTTAAAGCTGAATTTCCATGTTGCACTAACAAGTAGATAATTTCCTTGCAAGTTTCTTTTCCATTTGGATTTGGGTACTAATAAATACATATATGTGCTACAATATTGTTCATCAGAAAAGTTTAGAATTTACATTTTCTCAAAGAAACTAATAATCTCCAATATCACTTTTCGTTTGGCCTATCCTGTTTACAAATCTCAAGGGTCAGATAACAATAATCCATCTGGTGCATTATGTGCCTGTTGATTGGGAAGAAGCCCCATTTTGCAACATGTAAGAGATTTTATTCCATCATGTCTATGGTTTTCAATGTCACTGGCTTTATACTCATGCTGCCCTGTGACTTGTTTTTAAGCTATGTCCGTCATCAAAAGATGTTATTTTTAGCTGGCGGTGAAGGATTGGATTCCCCTGAAACCACCAAATCCTTCTTGTGATTTGTCGGTGACAAACTCAAGTGAGCAACCAAACTGCTTTATTGATGCAGCCGACCAATCTACAAGTGCCTTTTTTCCTAACCTTCAATTCAGAACCAGTAGCTGAATCCGTGAAGTCGGCGTTGTCGGCCTCTTGTTCCTTACATTGTTTTAAAAGCCGGACCGGAGGGTAACCCACTCTGCTGTCCGGGTCACAGTTCAACTGGTCCAATCAGTTGGACCGACAGTTGGACTGGTGATGTCATCACACATTATGGTGATGTCATCACACATTATGATGATGTCATCACACATAATCTGAAACATAGTAAACATCATAGCAGTTGTACTCATCTGCATAAGTAGATACCCATTCCAGGAACTTCAAGATACGAGAATTATCAAGAACTCTCATTCTCTTCATGTAACATGAATCGCCGAAAATTGGGTCTAGATATTCTCCATTTCCCATTTTCGTTGCAGTGTGGGGAGATTGCCCCAACTTTAAGCTGTAAACTTCACCTCCCCATTCTACACTTTCTGCACCACTAATTATCAAACTAAACAAGTTATGAGGCCAGTACCCCACGTTGATTTTTTCTCCATACTGCATCCACCAATTGCTTGTATTTGGATCCTGAAATCAAAGGATTATAAAAATTCTGAAGATATGAGAATAAAATATTATTCAAAGCGTTTTCAATGAAAGAAAAGTTCCATTTCGTTTTTACCTTAAATATGTAAATACTTATCTGGTATGGAAGGCCGTTAGCTACTGAGATGGGATAAATTGCAACCCCAAGTGCAATTTCCTTGATAGTTTGAACAAAACCAGGGCAAGTAAGATCAAAGCACCCTATTGCCTTTGATCCATCAACCTATTTAATAAAGAAAAGAAATAAAATTTTGGATCTTATGTTGTGTATTTAGACTATTTAGTAGCATAGACATCTCCACAAGAAGTTAACCTCCATAAAAGTTATAATAACCTATTTGTTGACAAGTACTTACGGTCCAATCTACATACAATCGAGTCTTCTTATCCCCATACACTCTTGGATTTACCTGAAAAATTATGAACCAAAAAAGGAAAAAAGGTATTTGTTTAGCTAGTGCTGTAATGGATGAATGACTGAACTGAAAAAGAATTCTTAGTTATACTAACTGCCCATCCAGATTCAATGCTTTCAAAATCGTAGTAAGGACCACTTTGGAGACTAACTCGGGAAGTACTGTACTCATCGTCAGATTCGACAGAAGGGTCCCAAACTTTGATGTCTGCTTTAGCTCCAAAGTAAATATAACCTAGTGTAAGCAGTATTGCCTTCTGATTTAATTACAGAAATTGAACCAAATCAGAAAAAATAGGAAAAAGATAATGATTCAAAGTGAATATGATCAGGTATTAACTATTAACCCTAAAAGTTCATAAGGGTACGAATCAGAAGATGTTCGCTAAATTTATTGTTTGCAACTCACCTTGAATCAAATTGGATTGTCAAGACATGCATGCCAATCAGCCTTCATGCGTCGATTTCCGGCGAGGGAGGAACGCATCGTCGCGATTTCAGAGACTGGAGTTGCGATCGATTTTAGTAAGGAATGGTTGCGATTTCAGCAAGGAATAGTTGCGATTTCAGCAAGATTCAGTTTTGATTTGTGTGGGATTTCAGATTTTCGTGATTTCATTCAAATTTTTTCAGAGTATTTTGTGCGTAGAGGAACTGGGGATGAAGAAACTGCGCGATGGGGAGAAAGTGAGAAAATTAGGGATTTTTTTGCCCTTTTCAGTGTTTGGGCCGATTTTGCTTGCGGTTCGGTTGGATCGGCGGTCTAGCACTGTTCACGCGGTCCATTGACGAGTTAAAATGGGTTATTGCATAATATCGGTTTTTATGTTGACTCGAACCGGACTCGTGACCAGTTCACGGTCCAACCGGTTGGACCGGCCGGTCCGGTCTGGCTTTTAAAACAGTGGTTCCTTATTCAAGTTCTTTATGACAGTTTCATCGTTAAGCTGTTTTTCAGGACGATTTATATCTACATCTTTGAGGGAATTTGTGATATTAGGTGTTTTGTTTTAATGTGTATAAAACGGTTTTTTCCTTCGTCAAAATATGGGATTTAAAAGTGATTACTTATTTAAAAGTATTGAAGTTAGTTAAACAAATTAATACATATTATATGATAACTATATTGGTTGATTTAAATTTATTTTTAATTTTGTACAGCTGTTATTTTAAAGTTTTAAGAAAGAAGGAAATGGTGTCTAAATAATCCCAAGGAGTTGGACGGTAAAAAAAGATTGTTTCTTTCTTTTGAGTTTTTTTATTCAAATTTTAGAATCACTTATCATAATAATATTGTGGTTTACCTGATACTTTAAGTTTATAGTTGAGATGATATCCCGATTGAAAATAAATAAAAAATAAAATTGGTGTCTAAATAACCTAGGAAAGGCCCTTTACACTTACCTTAGTTTAGTACTTGACTTAATTGTGGCAGCAAAAAGCAACTACGTGGAAATCCATGTTGATTCACTGAAGTGCTTGGTTTTGTGGAATTTGGTGACTATATAGGCTGGGAAAGGCCCCTTTTTTTGTAGATATGCGGCATGTTCATTCTTTTTATTCCCCCCATTTTGTATGTTTTCGATTTTGCAATTATATATTGAATTATTTGTTTCTCTTGCTTTTCATATTAAAAATAAGAAAAAAGAACAGAAATAATAAGTAAATGAGTATTGCATATTTTCCAAGATATAACACAGAATAAAAACAGAAAAAATGAAAACAGGAATACATTGAACGGATCCTTATATTATCACCCATGTAAAGAGAAGTGGTAAGGTTAGACCCAAATGGATACAAATTTTTTTGCAGCTGCTCTCAACTGAAATATCTTCAATAACTTCCTAACATTGGATAGTATGATGCATTTCTGAGCATCCAGCTAAGAACCCTCACTTTTGCAGGGAAAGATGGATCATAATTTAGACAAATTGCCAGAGAGAGCGTGATTCACCAGTTCCCTCCTTAAGATCTTTCCAGCAGGAGATTTTGGAATAGCATTGATAAAAGCTACACGTCGTATTTTCTTGTATGGTGCAACCTGCAATACCAAAACTCCAGGGTAAGAATATCATGAAACCTTAATTTGATGGTAAATTACTTCACAAAATGGTACATAAAAAGCAATGACTACTATGAGACGGAATATGTTATACAAACCAGATAGTTTTCTCAATAGAATAAACATTGATTTCGACAATAAGATTTCACTTAAGAGAACTGGAATGATAATGGTCAATCAAGCATGAAAACTTCATGTAATCTATTCCACTGTAATAATAAGTTATTTTGATAAATTAGGCGTAAAGATAAGAGTAGAAGCATATCCTAAGAACCAGACTGTTGCAAGATCAGATTATAGGTGGGAAGAGATTGAATAGCCTAGAAAGAAAACTAGCTATATCATAAAACTTATCAAATGTTAAATTATATCTTCATGAAACTAGGCTACCAAATGTGAATATTTTGTAGCCATGATTGATGAAAAGCAAAATGGAAAGACACTTAAGTCTAGCCTTTTAACTTCAAAAAGAAAATGCTTCATTGTTATATTAGTACTCAGAAACATGCCTGTTTTGCAATGAAATCCATAACTTGAGCTGCAGTGATATTGCTTCCAGGTTTTCTCACCACAAAAGCCATGGGAATCTGCCCTGCTTCTTCATCGGGATACCTGCTTGAGTATAAACCAAATGAATGAGAGATTTGCTCTGCTAAACCATTATGACATAAACCTTATTCCTATTGAAGGTCCAGATTGGGCTAGTCCACTTTAAGAACTATGAAACCCAAAAAGAAAAATACACTATTAGCTCCTCAATTCCCACTAATATTTATTAGCTCTTAACAGATGCATAACATTCCTTCAATTTTCAGACCCCAGAGAGTTGATTCATAAGAAACAAAGAAACCTGTCAATATTATAATATTTCTGCTCGTATAATTCTATTTTCTGCATCAATCATCTTATACAGTAAATTAAGTTTAAAATATCAAACAAATAATTTTAGGTAACTTTTACATTGCATATGCAAAAGCAACAACGATGAGTGGTAAAAGTGATTAAAAAAATCCTGATTCATGTGGATGAAGTGATCTCAGGATATATCCCATAGACCCTACATTCACTGTTGTTTCACCAAACACCATGAACTTTTCTGTTAGAGAAAATGTTCAGAAGTATTGCACAAGAGAATGCTTTGAAGATATTTGCGAACTAGTGAGCAAGTTAGTAGTTTCAAATAGTCATGATATAAGTCAAGTGTATGCAGATGTACTCAACAGAGGAAAAAAAAAAGACACTAGATACATACGGAATCACAGCAGCATCAGCAATTTCGGGATTCGATTGAAGTAAATGTTCCAACTCAGCTGGGGGAACCTGAAAGATATACCAGGTAAAATGAAATGAAATTATTCATCTACAACCATGTCTATCACGCCAAGGCAGCTGGTACAGATTTGGAGTTATAAAATCACCTGATATGCCTTGTATTTTATCAACTCCTTTAACCTATCAACAATGTAAAGGAAACCATTGGAATCAAAATAACATAGATCTCCAGTCTTTAACCAACCCTCTGAATCCAAGGTTTCAGATGTTGCCTTCTCATCTCCCACATAACCTGCTTTAAAACCATTCAGCTAATTATACAAGAAGCTTTATCATTTTGTTTATTACTAGAGATGATAGAGATGTTTAAATTAGAGACAGTGGTGAAACTCGGAATAGAAGTGCAAAGGCATTTTTGAGACAATAAGAAGTGTACAGTAACAAGCCAATCCATAGAAGAGATCATAGATTATACTTTAAATAAGCATTTCAACTGATGGTCTGTGTCAAAGACATATCCTCTTGAACAGTAAGAAAAAGAATACTAAAACACTGTCTAATAGTTGTCATGGGCCTTGTGGCAACTGGCAAATGAATACCCTCCAAAACTTATCTGTTTCGGAACAGGTAATAGCTGCCCCACATAAGTGTAATATGCGTGGTGGAATCAAAACGTTAAACTAAGAAAAGGAAGAGATTAGCCAGGCCAGTCAATGGTTTCAAGAATTGATATCCATCAACCACTTGCAGCAGCTATTTGCCAAAGAGGAGGCTTGCAACCTCTTTCAGCAAATGGCAGTGAGCCATGGCGGCCAATTATACTGTAGAGAAAGGGATGGTGAGTAAGTGATGCATAGGGATCAAAGGGATAAGAATGGAAGTGCCATTTACTAAAGCAAACTCCAAAGATGGGAAATCACCCTTCATATTGCCCTACCTACTCACTGAACAAGCCCATTGCATGCAACAGAATCACTTTGTCTGGTGAATTCTACAGAGCCAAACATGCATCTGCGAGTTCAATGATTCTAAAATTCTCTCTAATCAAAGAGTGAAAAGGGTACTACTACTGTAGAGATTTTGGGTGGCTGATATACTTCAGTCAATGATTATATAGGAAATTACAGTCATTATCTTCTCATTTTGTTACCTTTCATGATTGTTGGCCCTCGCAACCACAAATCCCCTTTCTGGCCTGGAGGTAGTGCTTCTCCACTTGCAGGATCGACAATCTTGGCTTCCATTAATTCAGCAAGACGACCAACTGAACCATACCTTTTCACCTCATCAGGCCCCATGGTCCTTGCTGCCCCTCCTCCAGTCTCAGTTAAACCATATCCCTAAGACAAAAGAAGAAGAAGAAGAAAAGATTTATACTCAGCAACCAGCATTTACTCATAGTACCCTTGAAATATTTTATTGACAAAAATAGGCATCACACTACGAAAATCAAAATGGAGAGAATATGCAACTCAAGTAATTCTGCAGAACATTACAAAGCAAACTTCCCGTCAATGTGGTTTCAACACAGTTTATGCAGATTTTCCATTGCTTTTCAGGAGTTGGTAAGTTTTAATGACTAAACTGACAACGATGAGAAGCGTAATAAAGATGTAAATATCAATTATAGGATATGGACAATCTACTTGTAACATTGCCCGGTCAAAAGCATGCTGTTATATCGACCTAATTGAAAGACATAACAACATCAAAGCTTTATCATTGTTAAGACAAATTCATAACTAACCAAAATTGATCACAAGTCTACGGCCAGTCCCCCAGCAGTAGCACTCTTCTTCATTGATTATAGAACAAATAAAGTCGAACAATCTCAACATCACCAAACTAATTTAGGCGACCAGAAACATTTAAAGCTAGTAACAGTGAAAGCATTTCATGTGATTAGAAAAGCAATCAATAAATTGGTCAACGCAAAATCTAGCATTATTATTTATTAATTACCTCCTAAAGCGGTCCATTTAACATTAGTTGAAAAACACAAGAAGTTACCAACATTAGATTCAAAATAAAAGGACAATTCAGATTCTCTCTTACCTGAAAAATCTCCACATTGGGAAACTTCTCCTTGAACTTCTCAGCAAGCTCTTTTCCAAGAGGCGCCCCACCGCAGCCGAGCACTAAAAGCGAGCTAAGATCGTACTTTTTAGTCAACTCCGACTTTACGAAAGCCACAATTAGAGGTGGTGAAACCGGCATGTAAGTAACTTTATACTTCTCCACCACCTTCAGCATTGTCTCAAAATCAAACCTCTCCATCAAAACCAAAGTCTCACCCAGAGTAAGCGCCCTCAACAACATAAAAAAACCGAAAACGTGAAACAGAGGCAGCGTGAATAACGAAACCGGATGTGGTGGTGGCGGTTCATCTGGGTTAACTTCCGGCTTCAAATGGTAGTGTCCGGAAATTAACGCAATCAAGTTCCGGTGTGTCAACAACACACCCTTGACTTTGCCGGTAGTTCCGGAAGAGTAAAGAATGGCTGACGAGTCGGACTGGTTTACCTCAACTCCAAGAGTAGAATTGATGAAGTTAACGTCGTCGTTTTGGTTCTGGTTTGATAAGGAAACGAACTGTGGGGAGTCGATTAGGATTGTACGCAGATTGGAGGGGAGTTTGTGAGAGGTATGCGACGTGGCGAAAGCGATGGAAGGCTTGCTGAGGTGGATTTGGTGAGAAATTTCAGAGTCGGAGCTGAGAGGATTGACGGGAGAGATGACAACGCCGAGTGCGAGAAGAGAGAAGTAAAGAACGGGGATGTTGAGAGAGGGAGGGGAAATGATGAAAGCGACATCGTTTCGGCGGAGAGAGTAGTGTGTCTTGAGTGAGAAGGAGAGAGAGTTAACTTGGCGGATGAACTGAGAGTAGGTGAGAGCTTGACCGGTGATGGCGTTGACGAGAAAAGTAGTGGAAGGAGTGGCAGTGGTGGAGGTTTGGAGAAGAGAGAGAGTGAATTGACTGATGGAGAGAGGCTGAGATGGTGGAGGAAGAGGAACGTTTGGTCTTAAGCTGTGGTAAGTTTTGGTTTGGGCGCAGAATCCACTGTTTGGATCAATAGAAGGGTTAGGATTGGGTTCCGCCATGAACGGAGAAATCAAAAGAGAGGGAGGGAGATGTGATATTTTTTGTGTGTGTGGTGGTGGTGGTGGCGGCAAAGTGCCTGCAGCTGACAATTAAATTAATTTAAGAAGGAAGCCTTAATAAAGGCTGAGCCAGAGCCAGAGCCAGACCTGAGTTGCGGTTCAAATTTGACATGTAAAGTAACTCTCCACAATACATTTGACTTAGAATTTGGGTTCTGCCATTCTAGATAACTGGTTGAAGTCAGAATGATTTAAAATGACAAGTTTATAGAGAGAATTAATTAAGTGTGGTTGTAGATAAACTAATAAAGTAATGTAAATGACTGGAAACGAAATACCCTACTATAATTGATAGAAACGTGAAATTCATTCATATTACTCATTCTTCTCCCACGACGTATTTCATGACGCATGTTATCAAATCATTTAAACGAAAAAAAAAAAAAAACGTGGGGACAGGTCTGAGCATAATAAATACTGTAAATGTGAATATTTCAAATTCTAAAGGTGGGTTTCATTGGATTACTTTTTAATTTCTTTAAATGTTTTTGTGTGTATACTACTTAGATTATGTAAAATCCGGATTTTCTTGACAAACAAATTGTTGATACGTGATTTTTACACCAACGACACGCACGTGAGAAATACTGAGCTGATCCAGAAGACACACGTGAAAGTGATGGATAATGAGACAGCAAATACAATGGGGGCAATTTTTAAAGTGGTTCGGATGCTAAGGTAGCAAGTCCTACGTCCACTGATGTTTATATTGATGATAAGGGTCAGGTCGCTTTTCGCTGACTGACTTTATAATGATATTACAAGGTATTGAATGCTAAGAATTCTAGGGAAAGAGAGAATAATTAATCAAGCGTAGAATGTGCCAGAAAAATCCCCCTTTAATGAGAGAGGAGCTCCCAATTTATAGTGGGATGCATTGAGGCAATGATCACTGAATCTGAAGTTGGTGGGATTATCAGTGCAAATCCCTCTTTATGTCACATTGCCCACCTTCCAGAGTGATTTGCGCGATTTAGAGTAGGGATTGGACACGTGGGAGCACCACAGCTCCTGACTGGCCTGACGCGCACCCACTATCCTGACGGAAGCAGACGGTGGTTGTTCCAATGATCTGACTCTTGTGGGCTGAATGGACCTGACGTCAGCCCTCATACTTTTTAGGCATAACAGAAGTCCCCTAGTTTTCAAGGTTTGAGGATTGAACATTGGAAACTATAAGTCATGCCACAGCGGGATGATTTCTAGAAATTCTGGCCTATTTGAAAGTAGGTCGGGATTGCATTTTTATAGGCGCGAACTCGCATGTTGATTGTTTGCAGAGGACGAGCGACCTAATTTCGTCTTACGTCACACGTTGTTCTGGTGATAGGGATGCATTTAATGAAGCAATCCCTGCGCTGACAGGTGTGTCCTTTGCGTGATAAATGCCAGCCAATCGCATTAAATGCGTTTTATGCTGAAACATCGCACTTTATCAGAACATTAAATGCGTTATACGTTGGAACGACGCCCCTTATCAGAACATTAAATGAGGATTTGAGACGAAATTAATGCTCTGAGAGAGGTATGGCCGTCGTTTGAGCTTTTCAACTGGAAAGGTGAAAGTCTGACTTTATCCAGTCGTTTCGTTCACCCCTCCATGCTGATAAGCGACACGTGGCTGAGATCAATGGTAAGAAACCTTTGCCGCCCAAACGTCGTTTCGATTCTGGGAAATCCAGACGCCGATTCACACGCTATAAAAATCTCAAATCGTTCTCAAGCAATGACACTAGAGCCTTTTTCACAGAGAGCAAAAGATTTTCGTAAACTTGGAACCTTTGTCTTCCAAACCTGCATTTTTCCGGCGTTTGAAGCAGAGGCTTTTGTCACACTCCGAGAGGTAAGAACTTCTCTGCCATTGTTTCATTATTTTCATGAGCTAATGGCGTCAGTCTTTCGGTAACCCATCGGAGACGAGACATTTGCGTCGGGTTTGAGCCATGAATGGTGGCTCGAATCGTGCTGTTAGGGTTTTCTTTAGGATTTAAGGAGTTTGTTTCCTCCCACGTCATCGTACGGAATAATGTACGGAGACAAAATGACCCTTCTGCTTGTCGCTTTTGCAGACTAGCAAAATGGACCCCTCAGCAACCACATCCGAGCAGGGAACCAGCTCGTCCTTACAGGGTGCTCCGAGTATCCCTCTCGAGGTCTTCTCGGTACTTACCGGGGACAAGCTTAAGAGGGTATTAGATCAGTACGGTATCAGGTGGACGTGTTCCATGACCTGACGCACTCATCGCAATATCCGTCAAGCGGTCTGGCCGTGATCTCCGAGGAGATTATCAAGGGTAGGGGACTAATCCCCTTCCACCCTTTCATCAGGTCGTTTTTGGACCACTTCGGGGTCGCGCCGATGCAGTTGACTCCGAACGCTTACGTCATTGCTATCGCAATGTACATCGCGTGCCAGGAGAGCGGGCTGGGCGAGCTGACCGCGATGGAGCTCGGATGCTCGTATTATTTGAAAAAGAGCAAGGACATAGATTCTTATTACTTGTCCAGGCAACCTTCTATCGCCGATGGGATACACAGTTATCCTAGCAACGCGGGGGCCTACGAAACGAAGTTTTTCTTCTTTCGCTATGATGGCCATTGCCGCTTCCAGGAACCGAGTAGGCCTCGTCCTCTTTGTTGTTGTTGTTGTTTTTTTTTTTTTTTTTGACAAACTCATTACATTCGAAGTGTGCACTTTCTAACGATCTGATTCCTTTCTGACAGTTAACAAAATGATCGACTTAGGGCTGCTCCTCGTCAGAAGAAGAATCGTGCACTTCGGCTCTCTACCCGAGTACCAGCGCGATGTGAAAAAACTCGTGACGACCACGAATTTGTGGAAATACGGGTTCTTTAACACAAACGCGTCGTTAGAGCCTCTGCCGAGTAAGTCCTGCTAACTGATTCTTTTCTAGTCGTGAAGTAGAATACCTTTGCTTACGATGCTTTGTATGCAGCACCCATGCCTCCGAAGGAGTCAGAGCAGCCGCGACGAAGGCCGCTCAATTTTCCTCAGTCGAAAAAAGCTAAGGCGGACGAAGCCGCTCAAACTATCCCCTTGGCTGAGGGTGCAACCTCGGGCCAACCGGCGCGACCTTCCAGAACTCTTCAGCCACAGCCGACAGAAAACGCGCCAATGCGAACCACGAAGGCCTCCCAGTCGTCACCTGCTCACCCGAGGATAAAGACAATGGCTCAGCAAAAGAAGAGGAGGCAGATTCAGGTCGAGGAGTCAGAGACCGAATCTGAGGGCGAGCAGCCAAAGAGGTCGAAGAAGGACGTTGGAAGGAGGTCGGGCAAGGAACCGATAGTCGATGTGGCCGCTGCTGAAGGTGCGAAGAAGGATACCCCAATGTTAGACTCGCTAGGGAACCTGCCGGAGTACCTACAGCCGATGGTTTATACCTTACTGGAATGCGGACTCTTCGAATCATTCGAGCAGTTCGTAAATTTCAGCGACGTCGACCTGATGTCCACATCGGTCCAACACTTAAGCAAGGTGAGCGAACTGTCCTCGGCGAGGATTACCCTTAGCTTCTTTTGATTGGCTAACTCTATCTTTCTTTGTTCGCAGACCCTTCTTTCCATGCGAATGTCTTTGGAGAAGACTCAGATAGGAGCCGCAAAAAGGGAAGGTTGCGCTGAAGGAAGAGAACGCAACTCTCAAGCGAAGCCTAGAAGCCGCCGAAACGGAGAGAAACCTATCTTCCGAATCAGCAAACAGGTACCAGAACGAAAGGGATGCGGCTTTTAGCGCAGTTGACTTCCAGAAGACGCAGCTCGAGAGGCATGGAGAGGAGGTTAAAGAGCTGCAAAGGACCATAGCCAGGTTCTCGAAGGAAGTCGGGGAGAAGGACCAGGAACTCAAAGCGACCTCTCTGCAGGTCGTGCGAACAGAACAGGAGAGAGAAGCTTCCGAGAAGCTAAGGCAAGCTCTTGAAGTTGAACTTCAGGAGAGTTAAGGGAAAGTTGCTTCCTTGACAGAAGAGGTGCAGAAACAGGCAGCGGAGGTCGAGGAGAAGGCTGCCAAATGGGCGATTGAGTCTATCTATGCCCTGCGGCCGAAGAATCCGCGACTTGATATGTCTGACCTCCCGGATGACTGGCGAGAAACACTTATGTCAATGGAGAGGGAGGATGATGAAGCGACGACTTCCAGAGTAGGTGGTTCGGGACATGCTCCGGACAAACCCTTAGCCGACCAGCCCTAGGACGTAGAGGTCGCTCCTTTAGGAGGCTGATTAGGGCTTTTAGCCATATCTTTTTTGCTGTACTCCTCACTAATGAAATTTACATTTTTGACTTATACAATTTCTGTTTGTTTCATTATACATGAGTATTATCTGGTTGCTTACATTCATTGAACGAGTGTGATAACATAACTCATTTGCACGAAAATGATCACATGCGAAGATTGTTACAGACGCCCAAGATAAGACTTTACAAAGAAATGACTTACAAAAATCAGAAATTAATTTACAAGGAAAGCTGAGTTCGGAATTACTGATAGTATGGCCGAAGGTGCTCAGCATTCCAAGAACTCCCGCACTGGAATGCCCGATAAAGTAATTAGCTCGGGGTACTTTGGAACCGTTTAGCCTTTTGAGATGATAAGACCCCGGTCTAATTACTTTATCGATGTGGTATGGACCTTCCCAGTTCGGTCCCAAAACTCCCGCACTTGGTTCCCTGGTTCCGAGGAGAACTTCCTTTAACACAAGGTCGCCGACCTGGAAATCTCTTCGTCTGACCTTTGAATCGAAGAACTTCTTTGCGCGTTGCTGATAGGCTGCTATCCTTAGCGAGGCCTTGCTGCGGTGTTCTTCAACAAGGTCTAGGCTCGCTCTCATAAATGCTTCGTTGTCGGCTTCACTATATAAGTCCCTCCGAAGTGAACCAGTTCCTACCTCTACAGGGATCATCGCTTCGCATCCGTATGCCAGCGAGAAAGGTGTTTTCGAGGGAAGTTCTTGGAGTTGTTCTGTACGCCCATAGGACTTCGGGGAGGTCGTCGGCCCAATTTCCTTTGGCTGCGCCAAGTTTGGCCTTCAGAGTGTGTTTGATGGTCTTGTTGATAGCTTCAACTTGGCCATTTGCTTGCGGTCTTGCGACTGAAGCGAATTTTTTATGGATGCCCTGCTCATCGCAAAACTGTTTGAATTCCTCGTT